GATCAAAACTCCAGACATCCAGAGGCCCCCAGAACACAAGAGACCAAGGAAGACCAACAGAGGGGCAGCCGCGCCACTGTCCCAGTAAGAGCTGAGGAGAGTCCCAGATGACGTTACTGAATTCCAGTTTTTTAAAGCAGATTCAGGTTGAACAAACAGGAAAGGTGGGAAATGAAAGAATCTCTCTGTGTGTGTGAGTCGGCTGATAACAGTACTTGAAAAGAAAATCAGTGAGTGTTTGTAGAGATGAATCCAACATGTTTCTAACGCTGCTGTAACATGTTTAATACCTGACATTTCAATGACTGAAGCAGCATTTACACTGACTCTGACAATCACGTTGAGATGAACTCTTTTCCTCGTCAACAGTCTGATCACTGACACATCTATGAGCTGAAACGTGCTGTTAGACTCTGACTGAATGTCTCCATTGAATATGATTTAGTCTGTGTGAATATCTAAACAGGAAATGTGAATTACTATCCATGAGATCTGTGCCGTCCACACAGAGGAACATCAGAGCTCCACAGAAATGTTTCACAATAAGAGTGCTTCTGTCCTTTTAAGTTGAAAGAGACAGGAAGTATAAACAGTGTGATGCAGTAAATTCAATTGATCAAAAGTACTGAGAAAGAGCGGATTACTTATTATTAATGAAGAAGAAGAGGACAGGTGTGTAAATATGACCCTGTTAATATGAGAGGTTATCATTATTATTACAGCAGTGCATTAGTGGTTGATTTAATGTGTTGGCAGGTAATTAGATTCATGAGCTCTGACAAATGAAAACAGTAGATTTTGAGTAAAGAGGAAATGTGCTGATGACGTCACAGCTCTCTGCTTTTAAAGCTTTAAAGCAGCACACTCTTCACACAGGATGATGAAGAGTGTGAGCTGGTGTCACACAGTTCTTCCTGGTAACAGATGATGCTGTGGTCATGTACCCTCTCCTCTGTTTTTAGAGCAGCTCTCAGTCAGACTGAGTCAGTTTGTCAGGAGAACTCAGGAACATGGCTTCATCCTTCCTCTGCCTCAGCCTCCTCTTCATCAGCCTCAGCACAGCAGGTACCATCAATACACTCAAACACTGATCACTGATCAATACACTGCAGAGATACACTGATCACTTAACAGTACAGTGATCAATAAATGCATCACTGATCAAGTTTTTTGTACATCTGTACACAGCAGGTGTGATCAGCTCACAGTCTGATGTTGTGTTTGTTCTCAGATGGGTTCAAAATGTTTTGGGTGCATCACTGTGACTTTAACTCCACTGAGCCGAAAGACATCAAGTACGTCCTGTCTTACTATTACAACAAGATCGAGTTCTCCAGGTTTGACAGTGATGTGGGGAAGTTTGTTGGATTCACTGAGTACGGAGTGAAGACCGCAGAGGAATGGAACAGTGGTGCATACCTGACTCAAATGAAAGCTCAGAAGGAGAGGTACTGCCAACACAACATTGGTGTCTGGAACAGCAACATTCTGCCTAAATCAGGTGAGTGTGCTGGTCTGTGTGACATCATCAGGTGTTCATGTTACTCTGAATCATTCATGATGGACTCACAGCTGCAGGTCAGACTCTGGTGATCAATAACTGTAATAAATCACTGACTCTGAACACTCTAACCTCAGTCTGTGGCGCTCCCTGCTGGTGAAACAGGCAAACTGCAGCCGTTCATTATAACACACTGATGATTCATTAAACCTCTTTAAGCTGAAATATTGCTCATATTTATTTTTAAATATTTCCATATAAATATTTCTAACAGCATGAAGCAGCCTGACATGTTGATAAAACACTTTTCTTCTAATTCATTTATTTTAATTCAGACAAAATTGAGAAACACTGATGTTTGTTTTTAAGGCCGTCTCCTGTTTATTGATTGATTCTGATTTTCAGAGCTTGTGTAGCAGCTTCACACCTGCACACATTTACAGCTCAGATCTATGAGTCAGTGTAACAGTGGAGCTATTCAATATGATGAAACAATTATAAAGTTCCCATTACAACCCAGAGGAAACACACAGATATTTTGTCTTATTAAATATTTCATTGGCTGTTTTGGCACTTAATGTTCATATTTATTTCAGCCTTTTGTGTGCAGCGGTTTGTGACTGTTTGTCTGTGAAAAGGACTCAATGACTAAACGTGACTTACTTGAATGAAATCAGCTCCCAGCAGCAGCTCAGAGGAACATGAGGAGAACCAGCTAAGACCTCCTGTGGAGAGGAAGCTGTCTGATACTGAAAACTGATTCTGCATCTTCTGCTTTGGGCTATAGATGATCTATGAGTGCACATACACGCACCATGAGTGTTAGATGAGCAGGCTGTTTACAGGAGTGACTTCCTCTCTGTGCAGTGACATGATGTGACCTCAGAGAGCAGAGCATTTTCCTCCATCAGCCAGCAGCTGTTTTGTGACCCATCTGTGTGTGACTGGTTGATCAATATGATCAAATAGACCAACAGAGCGCCCCCTGCAGGCTCTGGATGGTACCGCCTGATGTAAGGGGCTTCTAGCCCCACTATGTAGGGGTGAAGAGGCGCACAGGTTGCCCTGAATGACTAAAGGGTGGTGGGATCTGAGTCCATGACCCCCCCTAGTACAGTTGACCCTGATACTTACTTCTGTAAGAATGGTTTTAGCTGTCTAGCTGCTACAGGCACAGAAGAGGGGCTCCAGGATGAAATCTTGAGTAACGATGCCTGCCTGGAGTATACTATACTATCAGACATAAACACAGCCTAGCCTACCTTCCCTCCAATTTTCTGTACCCCAACCAGATAGCTAGGGTGCCCCTACTCCAAGGCAGCTTGGGTTAGACAAAAAACAGTGTTGGGTGTTACTGTAATTAAATTACTTCTCCACTGAAAAAGTAGAGTAACTGATTACTGTTCATTTTTAGGTATTTTACTTACAGTTACTTACAATGTACCTGCGTTACACTGTAAAATAAATAAACCCGCTGAATACCATTATTTAATTTCATTAATTTATCTTCTAAACGTAGAAGTACACTCTGCTCTTTAACATGGCTGTAGTGCAGCTACTCGTCATTTCACGCCAGTTTGCTGCACAGTCGTTTTCTACAGCAGAAGCTGTCTGACTCGGCTGAAGCGAGTGGCTGTTTTATGACATGGACATATTCCCGTCTCTTCACTCTTCTGAAACAAGCAGACAAGAACATTACAGTAATATGTAAGCTAGAAAAAACTATCGGCCGCTGTTAATAGTAATCTACTGAAGCACCTGACACAGAGCATAGATGAACACTTCTGAGCGATCCTTGTTCATCACCCATGGATAACACCGCGGCAGCTCCTGCTAAGCAGCAAAACCTGGTTTTACTTCAGCAGCACAGAAAGTGTCTGAAGGTGAGCTTAAAGAATGATTGCAGGCTACATAGCTGGACTGGCCATCGGGCATACCGGGCATTTGCCATTGATTTTTCGTTTTTAATGGGCCGATGGGTTTTTTTTTCTTTGTTTTTTTTCCGTAACAGTATAAACACTGAAAGGTGGTGGATTGGCCAGATGCTGGGAGGTGTGTAAAAATAACTCAGTTGTTTGGTGGTGGCTGTGGTGGAGCTTCTACAGATTCAGTAACATTAGCAAGGGATGGAGGCCAGCAGGTGGATGAGGGAAGGGGAGGCAGGAGGAGAGCCCCGAGTCGGCCGCCGGTCCGAGTGTCAGGTGAACTGAACTTCAGGTAAGAAGTTATGACCTGCAGTCTATCTGGGTCAGATATAAACCAAGTTTAGGTGGAGTTTATTTTCGTTATTCTGACTTTTTACAGTCAGTTACAATAACTCGTTTCTATACAGCTGGGTGGTGCTATGATGTTACTGATGTTGAACTTGTTTTATCTTGTTCATAAGGTTAGTTAGTAGAGTTGTCAACCGTCCCCTAAAAAACAGAAACGTCTGGTATTCAGAGAAAATATTACGCGTTTCGTATTGAGTTGAAAAGTAACAGTTTGTCCCGTAATTCAGCTACAATGAAAAAGACACAAAGCTGGATTTATTCTGTCTTTGCTGCACAGCTGCCTCTTCTTCTCTCATTCTCTCCCCTCCCTCTCCTGTTGCTACTTCAATCATGAAACTTATCAATGATGTAAAATGTATAGAAATCCATTATTGTACATAATTTCTTCAGAAGTAAGTACTGTATATGATGCCAGTATTTCCCACATTTTCTAGATACTGCATCAGTACTGTGTGTAAAATGCCATCAAAAGTCAATTAAGTTTTTCTTTCTCACCTGTCTCTCTGTCTCCTTTCACTTTTTAGAGGTTGCCATGTTAGAAAAAATATTTTGCCCTGCCGGTCTGTTTATTGATGTGGCAAATGAATGGTTTATGAAAATATATCTAAATCTGTCATCAGTAATCAGTAATGATCATGTCTCACCTCGTGTCTTCTCTGTCTTAATGTCAGGTTTCCACCGTGTGTTGTAGATGTTCAGGAGGTTAACTCGACCAACAGTCTGCTTCCAGGTGCTGTTTAGAATACCAGCATAGGGAGGATGGTTCAAGTTTATTAGATTGACACATGTATACCAACAAGACTGTGCATCACTGTGACAACAGTGTTTGTTTTCATTCAAAGGCTTTATGGCTTTAATACCTGGTGGGCCGGTCTCTAGTCAACATGCCCGGGCCGCTGTTTTGTCCCAGTCCAGCCCTGGCAGGCTACGCTGCGTACTGTAGAGGTTCCGTCTTTAACAAAATGTATTTATTATTTAAAGAGTTTAATTTCTATTGTTTGTCCACTCAAGGGTTATATGGATTTTAAGAAGTATTTAGTTAAATACTTATGTAGTAATTAAGTTACTTTTCTGACACAGTAATTAGATAAGTATTTTAAATACAATATTGACTAAATAAGTAGTAATTAGTAATTAATTACTTTTTTAAAGTAACTTACCCAACACTGACAAAAACATGAAACGATCTCTTCTAAGCAATGTTAAACTTTAATTTGCTCAGATGGCCCTGAAAATCATGGATGGCAAGAAACAAAAATGCAAAAGAAATAAAAAGAAATCAGGTTCAACGAATGAAGCAGGCAATTGTGGCCCCACTGTTGTAAAACCCTGGGTTTACACTAGCCACAGACGGGGATCCAAAAATCATGAAACAAATAAAATAATGAAATGAAGAAGTTCTCTTCTCCAGAATGATTAACACTGTATTAGGGCTGGGCCATATTATACCGTTCACAGTAATACCGGTATAATGTTAGGCAACGATAGGAAAATGAAATATCGCGATAGAATATGAGTAAAACGCGCATGCGCAGTGCCTTTGTTTTCATACGCACATG